ATATATTTAAGATTGTGACATGTGTTGATATATTTTACAAGATAATAACAAAAAAAATAATTGTGAAAAAATATTTGGATAGTAGTTTTCCTTTTAAAATTGTGTAACTTTCCTTCTAAAATTGAGAATTGTGTTAAAATATATCTCATGATTAATATAAAAATATAAAATATTAGAAACTAAGATAAGTTTGATATAATTACAAATAATTATTTGATAGAAATTTTGACATGTTTTAGAATATATCATGATTAAAATATCTATACAAATAGAATAGTAAAAAGAAATATGAAAAAAATAATTTTCAAAATTATTTACTTTGAAAAAAATAAAAATTCATTTATAAAATTATTTAATAGGAATTTTTAGTAAATTTCCTTTTTAAAAATCTCAAAGACAAAGATATTTGTAAAGTAATTTATTTATGTCTAGATTTCCTTTTCTAAAATCCTAAAGAAAAGATAATTGGAAAATATTATTTGATACTAATTATTAACATCGAAATTTTCTTTTAAAAAATTTAACGAAAATTATATATCAAAAAGATTTGTACAATAATTTATTTATTTTCTAAATTATTTTCGTTTTTACAAATCTTATACTAAAATTTTTTGTAATACTAATTTTCCTTTTCTAAAAACATAAAGAAAAGATAATTAAAAAAAAATTGATATTAATTATCCTATTTAAAAATGTTAAACCAAAAACACTGTAATTTTTCAAAATTGTGAACTGTGTTAAAATATATCTAATGCTAAATAAAATATACTATTTTAAAAACGAAAATAAGTTAATTAAAACGATTTTAAGAACGATTTTTTTTTAAAAAAAAAAATAGAGTAATTAAAATCCTATACCAAAATAAATTTGTACAGTAATTTATTTTCTTTTCTAATGTATTTTCATTTTTAAAAATCCTATAACAAAAAAGCTTTCTAGAAATAATTTATTTGATACTAATATTTATTTTATAAAATCATAAAGAAAATGTAATTGGATAAAAATATTTGATTGTAAATATCCTTTTTTAAAAAAATCGTAAACCAAAAAAAAATTAAAATAATGTTTAAAATTAATTTATTTTATTCAAATCCTAATGGAAAAGATCAGACATAAAAAGGAACTATAGTTTGTGTTTAATGTTAGTTTTTCTTTATTCAAATCCTAAACATAAAGATCATAAATTAAAAGGAATCACAATTTCCGCATCTATATATAGGACCAAGTTATCTCATATTTTGTGACTTCTCATATTTGATCACTAAACAAAATTATAGATTCAAGAAAAATATACAATGAGTTTTTTGCATGCTCTTTCACATCTTTGTGTGTTATTGTTTTTCTTTTGGATGTCAGATGTTGAAGAATAACTAAATATCTTTCGCATGTACTTTTCATACTCATGGTTAGATACCATATGAAAAGTAACAAATTACAGTTAAAATCTTAGTTAGAAATTATAAATATACAATTATTAGAGAGTTACAAAACTATTTTATTGTAAATATTTAATAGTATTTTCCTATTAAAGAATAGAGAATTGTAAATAAAAAATAACTTATTTCTTTTTACAGAATCGTATTTGCAACGTTAAATAAAAAAGTATTGGTTTAAAATAATTACAAAATCGTAATTTCCTTTTCTTAAAAAACCTATTTTTAAAGTCAATAAAATATATGAGTTTAAAATAATTACAAAGTCACTAGAGATCGATTTAAGATAAACAATTTACTTATGAACAAATGTAATTATAATATTAATTTTTTCTTATAAAACTTTAATAGTGTTTTTCCTTATAAGTATACAATTATTTGATTGTTATTTTTGTTTTTACAAGATCATAGACTTAATCTTTATATATATTTTTATTATATAAAACTTGGTTTTTAAAGTTTCTAATTATTATAATCATGACACATGGTAATAAATATTTTAATATTATGACATGTGTTAAAAATTCATAAATATGTAATAATTTAATAAGAAAATTGATAGTAATTTTCTTTTTATAATTCTGTTTGTTCAGGATCTTAAGAAAGGAAAATTATGATTTATTAAAAAAAATTATTTTCATATAGCTGTTACAATACTATTGATAAACAACTATTCACATATTCAAGATTTAGAAACATTGTTTTCATTTTGCAATGTTTGTGGTTACAAGAATCAAAGAAGTATCAAACTGCATAAGGTGTTAATAGTTTCATTACCTCTAAAATTACAAGATAAAAATTGGTGATCCAATGTTTTCCATTTTCTAAACAACTAAGATCATTACTAATTCTCCTATATATTCATCTATATATTTTCACTTAAAATAGACAATTATAGGTAGGATTTGTCCAATGTATGATTTTGTAATATAGTTTCTCTACTTTTAAAATAAAATAAAGAGATATCTACTTTGATCTCTAAATATATAGATTAAAATATCAATAAACTATATTCTCCCTAAAAGTAGAAAAACTCTATAATAGATTCATACAATTGAAATGTTCTTATCAATAATAAAGTCTGTATTTTAAGAAAAAATATAGGGAAATATATAAAACGAGGTTGGGGATACTTCGAAGATGAATAGACTAATCAACAAAATGTATATATAAATAAGAATAAATGCAGAAAAATTAATGATCATGTAAACATTAGAATATGTTTGAACAAGAAGAATAACATACAAATTTAATACAAGTATTAAATTTATTGACTCGATTGTCTAGATTCAACTTTATAATTCATTGTATTTCACTATGATTCATATTTCTGTGGAGTTGGGTTCGATTTGAATTTTGAGTCTGGCTTTTTCTGCAGACTAAGTAGAAGGTTACTAATAACTGTTTATGCACTATGGTTACTTGAACATAAATACCAAACAAAACTTACGTGGAAAAACATATTTTATTTCTCAAAATAAGTTTCACACAATATATGCAAAAATCCTATAATTGCGAAAACAAATTCTCATTTTTATATTTTTCAAAAATTTAAATCATTAGTCAAAACCCGTGAATTATAACATTAGAAATTATCGTACATCTCATGAATTCGTAAACTTAGATATTTTTAAATGACAATTTAAAGGTTCATTTATAAATAGGTTACTGGTAACATTATGTAACATTATATCATAAGAAAACATAGATTTAATGATACTGAATTATAAATAATCTAGTAAATTATGTCTATTTTTATAAATGGACTGAGAATGATTGTGAGGTTACCACATAAACAATGGTAACTTTGTTAATTACCCATGAATATAAGATTATTTTTTAAAAAATTGTTTCCCTTTTAATATATAAGGGATTTGTTTTCTTCTGACCACAAATTAACTTAGCTAAACCAAATCAAACCGTACTCTCTATAACAACTAATATTTTTGATTAATCTGGATATTCCCAAATCTGCAGAATTGTCCAGACTAATTTCCAAGTGAAATCCTATAGATAGAGTGTAATAGAGTGCCCTCGAATCTGAATTTACCGCTTACCACTAAACCACCCTCACATGGTTTATAACAACTAAACTGAATCAAACAAAACCGTGTAAAACTGAACTAGAAGCAAATCAGATGGTTATTTGGTTCACACGGTTATCAAAAAGATAGATACGCGAGTTTACAAAGTAGAATTGATTCAATTGAAACTAACATGTTTTCTAAAAAGGTTACTGACAGTACCACAAAATACACGGCTTGTGGATATTGGAAACTGTACGTTAGGTAAGCTTTTATTCTATGAATCCTCCTTTAATATATAAGACCACGTCTACGTGCGGAAATTATACAGTGTTAGATTTCTGTAACTTGTAAATGTTTCTCAGTAAATGAATATGAATGTTGAAGCTTATAGAATCAAGAGAGCTGTGAAGAAGAGCGGAAGAAGAAGAAGATGAAAGTATTTCAAGCCTCCAAAAAGAAGTCAAGGTCCAACAAACAAATGCCAAAGAGATGGAATTGAAGCTTCACACACGCAGCTTTAGGTATATACCATGTTCATATGTATGTTGTTAATAACTGGAGCATCATCTCTTATACCCATCCTCCTCATCACTCAATCTATCTTAGACACTTTTTTTCTTTTAATTTTATATGTTGAACGAAAAAACATAAAATTAAACTTGAAATGTGAATATTTTTTTATTTCACTTATAGAATTTGATAAAATTATTTTAAAAATCAAAAAACGTTTTTTCGTATTTTCACGAAAATCATCAAAATATAAATAAAAAACGATTTTAAAATATTTTTTTTCGAATTTGAAAACTCTAGAATTTAAATATTTGCCCATGGGTTCACCCATCCATTGGGGGGGGGGGGGGTTTGTTTAGGGCATCTCCAACCCAACTCCATTTTTTACTCTAAAATGGAGTAAAAGGGAATATGGAGTAGAAAACACTCCAACCCTACTCCATATTCTACTCCATAATAGAGTTTACTCCATAAATAGAGTAATCTATTTTTTGTTTGTTCATCACTCCATTATGGAGTGGAAAATGAAGTGGGGTTGGAGCATTTTTACTTCATATTCTCTTTTACTCCATTTTGGAGGAAAAAATGGAGTTTTACATTGGAGATGCTCTTAGTCTTGAACATCGGGGAGGATTTAATTTAGGAGTTTAGGTTTTGATCAAAAAAAGAATTATGAAATATGGGTATAAGAGATTTTTGTGGGTATAGAAGATTGGGTGATGAGGAGGATGGGTATTGAAGATGTTGTCCCTTAATAACTCCATTTAGTAAAAAAAATATGGTAAGTTTATAGCAAGTATGTAATGTATCATTCTAATAATTTCAGGAATAAATCTATATACTTACTTATCAAAACATCTCTATTGTGTTTTAGCTCCAACAACAATGGTTAAAACTCCAAACATAAATAAAAAATAGGCTAAATTAAGCCAAAACCAATCTTCAAACATAAGAAATTAACTCGGAGGCATGGATCAAGTTCAAGAGAAGGAAAGAAAAATCAGCATGTAGATATAAAAAAGTCACAATATCAGTACAAGAACATGATATTCTCAATGTGACCTGGAAAACACAACATATAAGGATTATGCTTACGAATACCTTGGATACCACGATCCTCAATACCTTCCACTTGTGCACTTCTGAAACTCTCTCTGATAATATAGTAATAGAAAACATTGAAAGGCTTAGATGGATCTAACCTATCAGATACCCATATAAATTCTCCTGTATGAATCTCTCCCGGAGAATTCGGTTTTTTGGCTCTGAATAATTTTACCCACTCTGTAGGAACATTGCTTTTCATCATGTTCCATGATTCATCTTCTTGTAACCACAAACGCAAAAGACGGAAGGCCCAACGATCTATTCCTCCTAACTTACCTTGGTGGTTTACAAGTGTCCAACAGAAAGTGTTTATGGTTGTGATCTTGGTTGAGGAATAATAAATGACTACTTTCTTGGTATCCTCTTCGTTGAACATATCTTCTTGGGGTGCGTTAATAAACTCCACCTTCTCGGATCTAACATCAAACCTAGCTATTTTATGTTTAGTTACAAAGTATATAGCACCATTGATGCAAATCCCATCGTGAAAACCACTGTAAGGATCATCTCCGATGACCTCAATCTTTCTCCACTCTTGTTGTTGACATCCCAATGTGAAAACGAAACACTCTGGCTCGTAAGTGTTTCTTGTATTGGTGTACACCTTATGCATCATCACACACAAGACTTTGTATTGGTCTTGGACAGGATCGTACCCTAGACGTGCGTGCATGGCTTTTCCGTTGAGTGTAACATCAGGCAGTTTCAAGATTTGTCTTGTGGTTGGATTACAAACTGCTATCGATGAATCACGTGTGCAACATATTAAGCCGTTCACAGGGCGAGATTTGATGTAGTAGACGAGATCTGAGATTGTCATGTCGTGTCTGGCTGTGGATGAGTTTTGTTCGATGTCGTGCTCAGGAGCTGAGAAGATGAAGCGCTTACGGGAATCGAAGTTCTCGAAGGTGAAAAGGAGGCGTGGTCGAGTCTTTGAGTGAATCAGGAAGGAGTTGTAGAAATCTTTGCTGTGGATGATAGAGTACCAGAGCTTGGATACTGATTGGAACCGGATGATGGATTTAGCCGGAAGTCTCGTGAATATCTCAAAAGTTAGGTCGAATGGAATGTGTTTTGGGGAGCTTTGGTCGTGAGCTAGGTGACGTCTTTGTGACGGTTCCATGGCGGCTATCAGATAGAGCCCTAGAAACACAAAAGCAGCTTATCTATATAAACCCACTTTCTATTACCCGCCCTTAAAAGTGCGGGTATATTTTTTGTATACATTTTTTTAGAAATTTAATATGTGTTTATCTTTGTAATCATATTTTTGTAAAATATATTTTTAAAAGCTATTAGTAAGAGATTTTGATAATTATATTAAATTTGTGATGTTTCTAGCTAATACATCGATGATGTAGTCATTTCTCACTACACATTAATTCTTTTTAGTAGGATATATATATGGTGTATTGACAAATTAGATGTAAGTATTATTTTTATATTCGATCTAGACTCGCGGTTGAACTGATAAACCTAGTTGAAAATATATATATATATATATATATATTAGATGTTTTTTATTAGTTATAATATCATTTGAAACGTTCATAAGATATATAGATTACATCATTTGAAACTTTAATAAGATAAAGTTTACAAAATGAGGAGATGCATGCACAATTTTTTAGTTTTTTATGCTAGATTCTAATCCGCTCTTTGAAAGGATATGTATATTTTTTGTTTTAATTTTTTGTAATGTAATATAAATCCAACAATTTTTTAGAGATATCCATAATTAATTAGTTAAAATAAATAAAGAATTTTTGGAAAATGATTATAATGATATATCATTATCAATATTAATAATTCAAAACATTCTTGTTAACACATTGTATGAATTTTATTAATTTGAGATATGGACAAACTCAGATATTAAAACTTGTTTTAGAAATATTTTTGGTTTCAGAGTACATATAAAATGTGTTATTGCAATGTCAGAAAAAAAAAATCTTTATCTACTAGTCCAATCTCCCATTAATTTTATAATGGACAAAATAGTTACAAAAATATAGTATGCATATTGTAATTGTTCAAAGTCACTTCGTTTCGCTAACCGTTTTGTATTCTTCCTTACAGTAGCAAGAGGATATTCCTTCTTAAAAATAACGTAATTGTTCTCTAATATAAATGGGTATAGATCGTGGCAAACAATTGTTATTGGAATATCTAGTTATTATTGGACTTAACAAATATCATTAAGACATGTTCCTGTTTTAATAGTATGGATAGATTCTAACCCGCTCTCAGAGGGCGGGTTTATCTTTTGTTTTATACTCTCTCCGTTTTATTTTATTTATCACTAGGAAACCACCCCGCGCGTAAACGCGCGAGAGAAAAGATGTTTTTTTTAAAGTAATTTTTATGTAATTTATATTTGTTAGTCAATCATTTTGAATCATTTAATAAACTAATTATTTTGTACGAAGATCAATACTTAAAAAATAATCTTATATAATAGAAGAGTGAAAATATAATTTGTGTTTGAAAATGTATAAATTTAAATGTTATGTGTTTAGCATAACAATATTAAGTAAACTTTAATATTAAAGTCGCAGTCATTTTC